AAACAACGCAAAACCAAAAAGCTACTAGAACTCAAATCCACCCTCAGAAATCTAGAACAACAACATAAAGCAAACCCCACAGCTCCCAAACTAGAAGAACTCAATGCAGTCACACACTCCATCAAAGAATTAGCGTTAGAGGATGTTGCCCGCTCGATAATATGGTCTAAACGACAATATTATGAGAAAGCTAATAGAATGGACACTCTATTAGCCAGGCAACTGAAACCTAGGCAGGAACACAGACCTATCACCAAATTACGAAATAGCAACGGAGACACACTAGAGAAACCGGGAGACATAAACGCAGAGTTCACCGCTTATTACAAAGCTTTATATAACCACACAGCACACCACACACCAAACAACACCACATTCACAAACAAAATCTCCGCATTCCTAGACGAAATCCTCCTACCGCGGGTGCGAGAGGAGGAAAGGGAAGCAATAGCCTCACCAATCACAGCAGACGAGATAGGAGCAGCCATCACCCACCTGAAGGGCAATAAAGTCCCAGGCCCAGATGGCTACGACATGAGCTACTACAAAACATTTAAGGAAGAGTTGACACCGCACCTAGTAACCATTTGCAACCATTTCCAGGAGGGAGGAACACCAGACACAGACATGGCGACGGCAAACATAATTCTAATACCAAAACCAGATCCATCTCCCTCATTAACACTGACCTAAAAATATTCGCCACAGTCATCGCAAACAGACTCATACCCCTACTAACACGACTCGTACACCCGGACCAGGTAGGGTTCATGCCTGGGCGACAACTATACGAGAACACACGCAGAGGAGCAGATCTATTATGGTTCATGAAAGAGTCCAAGACGCCCTCCCTGGCCCTCTCACTCGACGCCGAGAAGGCATTCGACAGGGTGAAATGGCCATTTATGATGACACTACTGGACAAGATGGGCTTCTCTGCCCCCTTCTGCACCGCGATAACAGCTCTATACACAAACACAAGAGCACAAACACTAATCACAGGAGCACCTAAGACCCCCTTCCCCCTAAGCAATGGCACACGACAGGGCTGTGCACTCTCCCCACTCTTGTTTGCGATCACCCTAGAACCGTTTCTTTAAGCTATCCGAACAGACCTGGGGATAAGAGGTGTTGAAATCACACACCAACCCTTTAAAGTGTCTGCATACGCGGACGACGTCTTGCTTACCTTAGCAGACCCACTGCAAGCCAAACCTCACAACCCTCCTGCAAAAATATGGGTAACTATCCGGGTACAAAATAAATCAGAATAAAACAATAGCGATGCCTTTCCACCTCTAAGTGCAGGACACAGAGATCATAAAACAAACATACCGCTTTACTATAAAAACGAAAGAATTCAAATACCTAGCGGCCACCTTAACCGAAAATCCGGCCTCCCTCTATACACGTAATTACACCCCAGTGATACACACCCTAACCACCGACTTAGAGAGATGGACAGACAAGCCTATCTCATGGCTAGGCAGACTACACTCTGGAAAAATGAACATCTTGCCGAGGCTGCTGTTCCTATTCCATGCCCTACCCATTAGAGTCACCAAAGGGAACTTAACTCCCATGCAAAAAGCGATCGACTCCTAGCATATGGTAAAACAAACGCCCGAGAATAGCCAGGGGTATAATGTACCGACCCAAAGACAGGGAAGGACTAGGACTGCCCACCTACACCCATACTACCAAGCGGCACAGCTAGCCCAGATTGTCCATTGGCATTCACCCTCGACTACAGAAAGTGGGTAGACATAGAGTCCCTGCTAACAGGAGCAGATTTACCACAATTCTACATATGGACCCCCAAGACACAGAGACCCATCCTAAGGACGTCCTGCCCGGCAATACTCAACTCCATACACCTGTGGGAACAAACAAGACACAAATACTCTCTGTGTAGCGACCTGTCACCCATGCCCCCGGTCCTCAGAAACAGGGAATTCCCCCCAGGCATGAGGGCCAGTAATTTCCAGGGCATAGAAAGCACAGGGCTACAAAGGTACATGCATTTATATGTTGACAAGGAAATAGTAACATAAAACCACTTAACCACTAAAGCCCCACTCCAGACAAGGGATTACTTTAGATACCTACAGATCAGAGATTTTGCACGCTCAGAAAAAATCTGAACAGCAGACCAAAAAAAGCTCACGTTTTTCGAGAAATTATGCCATGAAGAAACTACCCAGACAAAACTGATCACACTACTCTACGGACACATTAGTTATGAGGCAGGGGAATGGGGAAAACTGCAATACACCGAACAATGGGAGACAGATGGAACTGACTGGCAGAATATATGGGAAGCATGCACCAAAGTATCGATGTGTCACACTCCAGGAGAAAAACTACAAAACGCTCCTGAGGTGGTACACAACACTAGCTAAGCAGTGCCACATGAACCTAAGCCCGGCAGATACATGCTGGCGCCTGTGCGGAGAAAAGGGCAGCTATATCCACATGTGGTGGCAATGTCCCATAGTGCGTGGATACTGGGAAAGGGTGGTAGACTTCGGCTCTCAAATCCTCCAGAGGAGACTGGAGCTCGACCCTTGGGAATGCGTACTGTCCAGACCCACAGATGGCCTAAATAAACATGAGCAAAAGTTATTGAATATGATATATTTAGTGGCAAGACTATTATCGCAAACTGTGTCCCCAAAAGACTATATTTATCCCTGTTACTCTCATTGTTCCAGCCCACGTGCTTACCTGTCCTATCTGCTCCTACAGGAACTATAATCACTGTCCAGAGGAGATCCAGGAGCCTCATGCCTGCAGCTGGACTGTCAGCGATGCAGACCACGACTGCAGGGGCTCCCTTCCCGGGAGCTACGACTCCAGGCTAGTAGCTGCCTAAAAAGCGCTCTCTCCGTTGCTACCTAAGTGGAGAGAGACGCAAGCCCTGGCAGACCCTCTGGAGATATGAGTCGGCTTCACAGCGGCAGAGTCTCGCTGAGTGCCTGGAAATCTGTGCCGACCAATAGGAGGAGCTACCATTCAAATTGGTTTGCGCCCTTTCTCCCAAAAGGCGGGCGCGAGTTAAAGGGCTCAGCTCAGTACACCTCTCCTCACTGAGCACTGATTGGCCGCTGCATGGTTTAAGCAACCAATAGGAGAAGGAGCCACAATGCAAACTTTTTCATGATAGGCGGAAGGGAGTTAAAGCTTGGAACCCCTCCCCTCCCTAAGCGCTGATTGGTCGCCGCGTGGTTTAGGTGCAAGGTTTGAATCTACCAGCTTAAACCAAGTGATTCTGTGGAACTATTTGCGGGTATGTACAGAGCCTCAAGCCCAGACTTTATAAGATGTTTTCTCGGGCTCTGTACTTCCAATAGCTCTGCTATTTGCAGGGATCATAGCTGGGATCAGGAGCTATTTGGGGATATGTGTGGGGTTATTTTATGTCTATGCTATGTTTTGGGGTATTTTTATGCGTTATGTTCTTTATGCACAGTCGTGTTGTGGGAGTGTTATGGGCGTGCGTGCTGTGGGAGTGTTCTAGGGCGGAATTGATTGTGTCCATGTTTTGTATAAATTGGCTGTACCGTGTCCCATTAAAACATTCCTGTTGTACCCTTCATCAAGTCTCGGCTGATGTTTGGGTAGTTAAGAGCTCTGATCACTTTGTCACTTGGGATTTGGGGAGACTTATAACGGAAATACTCAGCCGGAGTATAGGGGATCCATTACACCCGGGACTATAATTTCTTTCGTCACCACCATTTCAGGGATAAATGCACATGGGCTGGGATCTTGAGAAACTGAAGAAGATTACCTGATCTCAACTGATGGAGAAAATTATTTTAGAAAGTTCTCATCCTCTATTACGCCCATCTTGTCAGATCTATGGTGGATGGCATGGAGCCTAGGAGGCTCATAACTCTCTCTGCTGAGGTTACATTGACAGCCAACATCTCTTTTACTTTCTGTATAACAGCATCCTCTTGCTCTGGTTACCTGGTTCTTGTTACCTGGTTCTGGTTCTTGTTGATTGTGAGGAATAAATACTAGTTCTAAGAGACTGTTGACTCCTGATTCACTAGAGTATTTGGTGCACTGGCAAGGATATGTCCAGGAACATTCTTGGGTTACAGCTTCTGAGATCCATGTTCCAGTTCCTGGTTTGAAAGCACCATGTTAGGATTCCTCCACGTCCTGCTCCTGTCTACCTAAGGGGAGGTAATATCACAACATCTGTCTCCTCTGTGTTCAGATTGCACACCAACTCATCCCTAGCTTCCTGGTGCCTCATGAGATCATATATGACACAGTCTTTTTGGCACTTTTTGATCATGTATACAACCTTGTGACCTCATTGACCACTGTAACCAGCTAACAACCCAGTACAGGGTATAAATACTTCCTGGTTTTCCTTGCCCTGTCATGGTTTCTGTTTACGCAAGAGTGTGTTATAAATTACTTATTATTCTGTATTCTGACCTTGTCTTGTCTTACCATTATTGATCTCTGTGCCACTTACCTTGGCTTGTTTCTTAATTCTGTGTACCTCTGTATTTCCTGACCTTGGCTTGTTAATGTTTATTCTGTGTCTGCTTGTAGACTTTTTGACTATAATCTTACTGCTAGCCCAGCCACTCTAAGGACTGGTACGCATACCTTCCTTCCATATACAGTTGTGCTCAAAAGTTTGCATACCCTTGGAGAATTTGTAATATATGCACCATTTAAAGAAAACATGAGTGAGCAGGCAAAACACATTTATTTTATTTCTTTTAGGATTTATATTCAACTGTAGGTTATAACAGAATGGCACAATCATAAAGCAAAACAAATAAAAAAATTAAATGAACCCTATTCAAAATTCTGCATACCCTTAATACTGTGTATTGTCTCTTTTAGCATTAATGACAGCGTTCAGTCTTTTGTAATAGTTGTCTTTGGTCGTCTTGCATGAACCGCACGTTTGAGCTCTCCCGCAGTGGCTTGATGATATTAAGGTCAGGAGACTGTGATGACCAGTCCAGAAAAGTGTCCCATGCACAGCCTTCATGCTCAAGAATGCAAATGTTCTGCCAGTATTTTCTGATAACATGCTGCATCCATCTTGCCATGAATTTTCACAAGATTCCTCGTGCCTTTTCGCTAAAGGCCTTGTTGATTCCTCTCCAAACATAACGCTTATGGTTGTGACCATAAAGCTCTATTTTGGTTTCGACACTCCAAATTACAGTGTGCCAGAAGTTGTGAGGCTTCTCAAGGTGTTGTCGGGCATATTGTAACTAGGCTTTTTTGTGGCATTGGCGCAGTAAAGGATTCTTTCTGGCAACTCGATCATGCAGCTCATTTCTGTTCAGGTATCGTTGTATTGTGCTCCTTGAAACAACCACACCATTTTTTTCCAGAGCAGCCTGTATTTTATTTATTTTTTAACATTATTTTTGGAGCGCATTGCCAGATACATGTTGAAGCAAAGACATATGACAGGTTGCATGAGTTAAAACAATAACATATCTGTATAAGTGTTTTTGCTGCACTTTAAAAAAAAAAAAAACTAGTTCTAAAAGGAATATACAGGCTTAACAGTAAAGAACAACATAACAGGTTTCCTGGGATGCACCAAGCTTTTTGCTCAGAGTAAGGTATAAAGAGGTGATTATTGCACAGGCAGAGGAGAAACCAGAGACTGACATAAAATAATAGTAGATGAATGCACATGTAACGAACAGTGTCATGGTAAAGGGGTAGTATGAAGTGGATGAATTCTTTCTTGGTCTACCTGACCTTGGCTTGGTATCAAGATATCTATAGTAAAAAAAGGGGGGGGGGGGAACAGCGCTACAGACTATAGTAAAAAAAGATTAAAAAAAAGATTAAACAAGTACTGACATTTTCAAGGCTTTGATATCTTTCTATATCCTATTCTATCTTTATTAGGTTTCGTTACCTTGTTATGCAAGCGATTTGACAGTGGCTCAGTTTCTAGCATGCTCAGTGCATCCACATGAGAGCTAACAAACTCATTGACTATTTATACACATACACTAACTGCAATTTAAAAAGCCACAGGTGTGGGAAATTAACCTTTAATTGTCATTTTAACCTGTGTGTGTCACCTTGTCTGTCTGTAACAAGCAGTGGCGGATCCAGGGGGGGGCAACGGGGCAATTGCCCCCCCCGAGAAATCCGCCGGTCTCCCTCTCCCTCCCCTGCCAGCATGGCAGGCACTGTGCTGAGAGCCGGCAGGGGAGGGAGGGAGGGAGGAGAGAGAGGACCCGGAGCTCAGGCTGCAGCTCCTCCGGGTCCTCCTCTCGCGAGATTTGGAGCGTTGCCGCGGTTACCACAGCAACACTCCAAATCTCGCGAGAGTGAACTCTAACCCTGGAGCACGGGCTAGAGTTCACTCTCCACACTGGACCACCAGGGAATACCACTGGGACCACCAGGGATCGAAGTATGTCCCCCCTCCTCCCCAGTAAAGGTAAGAAGGGAGGGGGGACATATTTCGGATAAATAATTAAATAAAAAAATTCAATTCGAATTAAATAAAAAAAAATATATATTATAAAAAAAAGCCACACATACATACATTGCCCCCAATACTGCCCCCCATTCACACAAAGCCCCCATACACACACACTGCCCCCATCACACAAACTGCCCCCATACACACACCCCCCCCATACACACACACTGCCCCCCATAGACACACAAACTGCCCCCATTCACACAAACTGCCCCATACACACACCTTCATACACAAACTGCCCCATACACACATGCCCCCCATACACACATACTGCCCCCCATACACACACTGCCCCATACACAAACTGCCCCCATCACACAAACTGCCCCCATACACACAAACTGCCCCCATACACACAAACTGCTCCCATACACACAAACTGCCCCCATACACAAACTGTCCCATACACACACACTGCCCCCATACACACATACTGCCCCCCCATACACACATACTGCTCCCCATACACACACATACTGCTCCCCATACACACACATACGCCCCTCCATACACACACCACTGCCCCCCAACACACACATACTGCTCCCCACCATACACCACACATACTGCCACCCACATACACACACATACTTGCCCATATACACATACTGCCCCCCATACACACATACTGCTCCCCATACACACATACTGCCCACCATACACACACACTGCCCACCATACACACACACACTCTACACACATACACTATCCCCATACACACACACTGCTCCCCATACACACACACTGCCGCCCCATACACACACATTGCCCACACTCACACATACACTGCAATACACACACACACACTGCAACTGTTACACACACATACTGTCCCACACATACACTGCATCCCTGATATACACTGCCGCCCTCACTCACACACTACAACCTTCACACACACACTGCACCCCTTGCACATTGCACCACTCACACACACCACTGCTCCTATGCCCTACTACAGCCCCATTTCCCAGCAGATCTCAGGTAAGTTGTCAAACTGTTCTAAAACGGTTTGACTACTTACTGTGGGAGGGGTCCCGGCACTATTGACACCATAACCACTACACTGAGCTGTAGTGGTTATTGTGTCTGGATTATTTCTTTAAATAATCTACAAGTGCCCCTCCCGAGATCAGGCTCTGGATCCGCCACTGGTAACAAGACCAAACATTCAAGGATGTGTAAACCTTTGATCAAGGCCATTTGGGTGATTTCTGTTATCCTTATGATTTAAAAAGGAGTCAAACAACTATGTATTAATAAATGGCTTCATATGATCACTATTCTTCAATAAAATATATATTTTTGCATGATCAGTTATGTTTTCAAAATCAATGCCAAAATTTCACAATTTCTGCCAGGGTATGCAAACATTTGAGCACAACTGTACTTAGTTTTGTGTCTTAGGGTCAGACCAATCCTGACACATAATACTAGCAAGCATCAGGGGAGATATAGTCTACAACATCTGGAGTGCTAGACATATTTATGTCCCTGCTGCTAGACATATTTAAACCAGAATTGTGTACTTCATAATTAATATTTCAAAGTTAGCTGCCTTGCCTTTTAAGCGCCTATACCCCTACTCAGTCTAGTATAGTCCATTATCCACTTACAATTGCAAAGAGACCATTTAAAAAATCTTGGGGTCCTATCCCCTATCACAAGATATCACTCCTCTTCTCCTATTACCTAAATATCTCTAAAACTATTTCAACCATTTGAAACCAACTAAAGAACTGGATGCACCAATTAGTATCTCTATTAGGCAGAGCCTGCGTTATTTATTTATTTTTCTTTCAGTTTGACAATTTGTATTGAACTTTGGGATATGGAAAGAAAGAGAGGGTGGGTTAGAGGGGGATAACAAAGAAAACATGTAATGTGTATCATATTACATTATAACATCATTGCTGCGTACCTAGTTCTTCGTAACACTCTAGACAGTAGCTTGTTACTTCTAAGACGGCTTCAGAGCTAATGCTTTCTGTCCTATTTCTAGGACCCTATCTCGGGCGCCTCTATCCTACCACCTTTTCTGGCATCGCTGAGCCACCTGCAGGTTCTCCCTGACGGAGTCAGTCAGCGTCTGCAAGCGGTCCCTGAACTCCAGAAAATTTTATCTACTTTGAGGTAAGCAAACAGGAGATGGGGGAGAAACCTTTCCCAGTGCCGACAGGAGGCCGTGATCATCTTAAGCATCTACTTGAACGTGCCACTAAAACGTTCATAGTCCGTTCGTCTGGGGATGGTAGGGGCTTCACTCTGCAACTCTGCCATAACTGTTGGGTCACAGTTGCGGTAAATTGAGTCCGCTGATCAGATAGAATCTCCATAGAGAAACCAACTCTAGTAAAAATCTTTACTCTACCGTGAGGATATAGCTCTTTCCCGAGGTGCTGGGCTTACAGAGGGCGTCTATCAAGTCCACTGGTCTATGATGGGCAAAGGATGGAGCTTGGCCTTTGGGTGGTCACCCCTTTTTCCTATCTTTTGGCAAGTATCACACATCTGGTAGTAATCCTGCAGGTCTTGTGTGAACCCTGGCCAAAAAAAGGTCAGGGTTAACCGGTCTTTAGTCTTCCAGACACCCAGATGTCCAGCTAGGGGAATGTCGTGGCTAAGCTTGAGTAGCTTAGCCCTAAATTTACGTGGCACTATCAACTACCTTTTAGCTATCTGCGCTGCCCCACTCCCTGTTCCCCCAGTCAAATCTTTCCTGAGCTATATCACCTTGGGGGGATATGCTGCCTCTTTCCTATACCCTTCTAGTGTGGGGTCTGCCCTATGCTCTTGCTCAAAACCTTGGGGTGTACCCCAGAACAGGAGAGGGGCTTCGGTTAAGGGAGGGACAGGAGGTCCTCAGAGTGCGCTGGCTCCCTGCAGAAGGCTTGTGATCTGGTGGTCACTGGATATGTTTCCTCAGTGTAGGGGTGTGTGAGCTGGGAGGTCAGGCAGCCCAAGTAATTTCCTAGTAACACCTCTGCTGGTAACTCCTTCATGATGCCCACCTCCAAATGATTGGCTACTGTTTTGTGGGTGCGGGCCTGAGCACTGATTTTGTGCAGCTGTACAAGAGTGAGGGTTGTGCCAGTGTCTCTGAGGCCCCGTGCCTCCTGTCTGTCAATGGTCACCCACTGTCAATGGTGTTCTCTGTTATCGCTTGAAGCCTGGACTGGAATTGCCTCTTGCAGAGTTGTCCACTGCTCCTCTCTGTGGTTTGGGCTACTGTGGATATTTTGTTTGAAGGGCTGATTGACACAGTGAGCAGGCCCAACATTACCTCAAGAGATACAAGGTGCTTACCATGCTGAAAGTTGCACAGTTACATAGCTGAAAAGAGACATGCGTTTGTCAAGTTCAGCCTCTTTCACATTTGTTTTTGTTGTTGATCCAAAAGAAGGCAAAAACTATTTGAAGTGCTTCCATATTTGCAGCAAACAAGGAAAAAATCCTTCCTGACCCCAGAATGGCAGTCAAATATTTACTTGGATCCAGAAGTTATTACCCCACTATTTAAAAATGTTATCCCTGAATGTTATGTTTTGCAAGCATTTATCCAATTGCTGTTTAAACATCTGTATAGAATTCCACATCCTTATTGTTCTTACTGTAAAAACAAAACAAAAAAACTTTCCTTTGCCTTAGACTAAATCTCCTTTCTTCCAGTCTAAATGCATGACCCATGTATAGTTTGTTCATGAATAGTGAAGGAACCCCGAAAAATATACAGTTGCAAGAAAAAGTATCTGAACCCTTTGGAATGATATGAATTTCTGCACAGATTGGTCATAAAATTTGATCTGATCATCATCTAAGTCACAACAATAGACAATCACAGTCTGCTTAAACTAATAATACAAAGAATGAAATGTTGCCATGTTTTTATTGAACACACCATGTAAACATTCACAGTGCAGGTGGAAAAAGTATGTGAGAACCCCTAGACTAATGACATCTCCAAGAGCTAATTGGAGTGAGAAATCAGCCAACTGGAGTCCAATCAATGAGATGAGATTGGAGGTGTTGGTTACAGCTGCCCTGCCCTATAAAAGACACACACCAGTTCTGGGTTTGCTTTTCACAAGAAGCATTGCCTGATGTGAATGATGCCTCGCACAATGAGCTCTCAGAAGACCTACGATTAAGAATTGTTGACTTGCATAAAGCTGGAAAGGGTTATAAAAGTATCTCCAAAAGCCTTGCTGTTCATCAGTCCACGGTAAGACAAATTGTCTATAAATGGAGAAAGTTCAGCACTGCTGCTACTCTCCCCAGGAGTGGCAGTCCTGTAAAGATGACTGCAAGAGCACAGAGCAGACTGCTCAATGAGGTGAAGAAGAATCCTAGAGTGTCAGCTAAAGACCTGCAAAAGTCACTGGCAAATGTTAACATCTCTGTTAGCGAATCTACAATATGTAAAACACTAAACAAGAATGGATTTTATGGCAGGATACCACAGAGGAAGCCACTGCTGTCCAAACAAAACATTGCTGCACATTTACAGTTTGCACAAGAGCACCTGGATGTCCCACAGCAGTACTGGCAAAATATTTTGTGGACAGATGAAACCAAAGTTGAGTTGTTTGGAAGAAACACACAACACTATGTGTGGCGAAAAAAAGGCACAGCATACCAACATCAAAACCTCATCCCAACTGTGAAGTATGGTGGTGGGGGCATCATGGTTTGGGGCTGCTTTGCTGTGTCAGGGCCTGGATGGATTGCCATCATCGAAGGAAAAATGAATTCCCAAGTTTATCAAGACATTTTGCAGGAGAACTTAAGGCCATCTGTCCACCAGCTGAAGCTCAACAGAAGATGTGTAACGAGAATATACCCCAACACGCAGGATTCAGCTAAACAGAAGACAACACAGAGGAGTATTACGTCTACCGGACCTTAGAATGGCCGGACTCGACGTATATGAGAGGAGACAGAGTCAGGAACGATCCAAAAACAAGGGCACAGAGAGACAGCGTAAACTAGGACAAGCCGGGGTCTGGTACACAGTAAACAACAAGCCGACAACCAGAACAGATAAGGATAAAGAGAAAACGTAGTCAGAAACAAAGCCAAGGTCAATACGGAGAAACACAACTGAACACAACAAGCGCTAAAGGGAACTGATACAGAAACCACGATAGGGCAGGGAGTAAAGGGAGATGTAAGTTTAAATAGCTTCAAAACTAATGTGATTGGCTCCTGTCATATCCACACCCCCAAAAGGTAAGTGTATGGGGAGTGTGGCATGACAGGGGCCAATGGGAGCCTTTTGATAATTTAGGCTCCCACTGTCTCTTTAAGAGCGCGCCCGAGACTCGCGGCGCGCTCTTAGATTCAGGCGGGACACGTGACCGCTTCTCGCGGTCACTGCCCGCCTTGCTAGTGGAGCCGTCGGATGAGCCGCGCGCGGCTCGTGCAGCAGCAGGACCGCGCGCGGCTTGAAGAGAGGACCGCTGCCGGCCCCTGGAGAAGGTGAGTAACGCTACAAGATGGGTGTTGCAACAGGACAATGACCCAAAGCATAGAAGTAAATCAACAACAGAATGGCTTAAACAGAAGAAAATATGCCTTCTGAAGTGACCCAGTCAGAATCCTGACCTCAACCCGAATGAGATGCTGTGGCATGACCTCAAGAAAGCGATTCACACCAGACGTCCCAAGAATATTGCTGAACTGAAACAGTTCTGTAAAGAGGAATGGTCAAGAATTCCTCCTGACCGTTGTGCTTGTCTGATCTGCAACTACAGGAAATGTTTGGTTGAAGTTATTGCTGCCAAAGGCGGTTCAACCAGTTATTAAATCCAAGGGTTTTTCTACCTGCACTGTGAATGTTTACATGGTGTGTTCAATAAAAACATGGCAACATTTAATTATTTGTGTGTTATTAGTTTAAGCAGACTGTGATTGTCTATTGTTGTGACTTAGATGATGATCAGATCACATTTTATGACCAATTTGTGCAGAAATCCATATCATTCCAAAGGGTTCACATACTTTTTCTTGCAACTGTATATGCATGATCTGAGAAATGTTGCAAAACGCTGATGCAAAGTCAGGCATGATAGACATAGACATGTGACATGTGGGGGACTGAGAGACGGGGTGATGTCAAACACAGGTGTGCGGGTGACATTATTGCTCTATATCATAAACTTTTAAGGCTCAAAATGTAAAGATCATGTCTTAAGATCACTCTGATGAGATTTTGTCTTCATTGTGTGTCTTGTACTTGTTTACACTTGTTACTAATAAATTATGTTTACATTTGATGATTTGACTTAATACGGAGCAGTGTTTGGTCGAGACTTGAAACATTCACAGCCCTGTGGCACAATAAAGGTTTGTGCTGACGGAGTGCTGGGCTCAATTTACTTTTTCTTTTATTACATTTTTTTATCAGCTGTAATGTATGTATTTAGGAAAATAATTGGCAAATTCAATGGCGTCTTTGAAAGCTATTTCATAAATTTCCACCCTTTTAGTTATACATGCAGACATTTTACAGAATATTTTGTTGCTTTATTTGAACAGTGCCCACCATATATGGTGTAAGGCAATCTCACTCTTTTTTTTTTCGCCATTGATACTAATATATATCAGGACAAACAGTACTTGAAATCATGGTATAAATAAATATAAATATATTAAGAAATGTTCCCTGATTTACAGACAGCGAATACATATATACAGCTATGTGGGTAACAATTAAGTGAGCGCGGAGATGAGTAGGCAATGTAGCAGTAATAGCCAAATCCATAAAGTAAACTATATCATGTCCATAGCGTCTCTTTTATATCCACAACTCTAACAGATGCAGGAAGGAAATCCTATCCTATCTAAAGGATAACAAATGGTATTTAATGTAGGCTTTAGAATAAAATGGAAGGTGTTCCAATTGAGCTTTGGTATAAAGCACAGACACAGATGGTTGTTGTAAAAAAAAAGAGCCTGCATAGTGTTCTGTATGGTCTACTACACAACGCCTAAATCTATCAGATATTTCCTGAGAACTGCATCCTTTACATCAGTGAACACTGCCTGGATATTGTTTGTGTCTGTGGCACAGGTGAAATGAGGATAAAGTCTGTCCTCTGCTTCCTTCTTCCCTATAACTGCCATGCCAGGTACTTTTGCTTTGTTGAAAATCTCATTGTAGGTTTCCAAAATGAACTTCTTAGCAGTCTCGGTATTTCGCCGGGGACCTATAAAAAAATGAGAGTACAAATAGAGTAATACAGTGATTCAAATAGAATTATCCACTAAAGTGAGAATTGCTGGGAATTTAAGAGGAATTCCAAATTACAAGCACTTATATAGGCACAATAAGCAATTTGATATATTCCAATTTTTTCCAGCATTACAAACAGGCTGAATGTGTCCTGTGGTATCTGACACCAAGACAATAACAGCAGATCCTCTAAGTCCTGCAAGTTGAAGGGGGGGCCTACATGGATCAGATTGGCTGTTCCAGCACATCCCACAGTTGCTCAATCGTATTAAGATCTGGAGAGTTTGGAGGCCAAGGCGACACTTTGAACTCTGTCATGTTTCTCA